GTCAAGATCCAAAAAAATATTTTTGCATTTTAAGCGATCTTTACACATTTCATTGAGTATGTATGTGTGTGTGTGTGTTTGTGTGTGTGTGTGTGTGTGTGTGTGCATGGTGCGCGTGCCTGCGTTTTTTGTGTGTATGCTTGTACGTTTGTCCGCGTGTATTTGTATTCGTGTGTGGATGCATCATGCTCACGAGCATGAGTGTGCATTCATGTATTGGTGAACCTATGTACTTGTGTGTTTGTGTGTATGTTTGTGTGTGTGTGTGTGTGTGTGTGTGTTTAGCCATCTAATTCGATACTATCAATGCAATAAATGTTTTTTCAGTTGCACCGTTAGACAATCCAGACTGTTTGTAGGGTCTGTTTTGCAGTTGCTTTGACCAAAGAAGCTACAAGGTATGTGTTAGCAAATCTCGTGAGAACATGTGAAAACACCTAAAACTTGCGTTTACAGCATTTTTTCTTTATTTCGCGTCATCTAATACAATTCTAATTTCGTAAAATTTAATTCCTATCAGCCAACAGAAGTCACAAGAATGCATACAGTTGTACTATTAAAAAGTTTTATCAACAAGATCGGCAAATATGTGTGCGCCTGTGTTCCCTGTGTTGCTTGAATCACGATAAGAATAGTGCTAAAATTTTTTTAAAATTTAATTCACTTGGATTTTAATTTTATTTGTATTGTGCGATCTCTGGCTGATGAGTATGGCGTAGTGGCAGTTTGTGTTGCTGCCATATTGAAAATCCAAGATTCGACACCGCTAGTGGGACAAACAATTCGTCTACTATTCGTTTAATAGTTTTAATGATATTGGCTTGTGTCAATGGGCCAAAACCATCATATATTTGTTTTCAGTCAATTCTCGGAAGAGGAAGTCACTGGCAGGGAATGAGTACGTCAAAAAGAATTGTGGCTAACAGGTCTTAACTGCTAGCTCTAAATATACTACGTAAGCACTATAGGTTTGTTGAGAATGCTGATACGGGATTTATAGTATGTCATCTAGAAATTATCTGAGTTTTTATTATGTAAATTAAAATTGTGCGCGTTTTTTGCCCGGAATCTAGAAATGGTGCTGCTTTTTTACTCTTTCTTTTCGAGAAGTTGAAATTTCCTCCGCAAATTTCCTCTCATGAGAAGCGAAGCCATTGGTTTCATAAGGAAAATAGCCTGAAAGATAACAGATGCCCGCAGCAAGCACCAACTGGCAAAGCATCCGGTGGCTTCCTTTTCCGAAATTGTTTACAGACACGCTGATGACGGGCTTGATCCCTTGAATATGCAAGTACCAATTTACCATCGAAACGAATGAACATATCTTGAAGGGTCGGATGTTAAACCGGATGTGCACTACTGCACGAAAACAATGCTACTTCCCACAGCGACAAGCCGACGGCAATTTTCCATTTATTCACTCGAATTTAACTTTCCCTACACAATTTTCCTTTCCTCCAACTGGTTTTGCTATTCGTTCAACTTTTGAATCCCCTCATTCATTTAGTCTGCTTACATATGAAGGCGGGTTGACAGCCTACTAAAAGCAAAAAATTACGGCTTTTTGCTGGATTTTTTCAAGAATAATAAAAAGTGGTCAACAACTTCCTCCTCGCCACCCCTCTGCTTTTCTTCGCGCCCGCGTAAGTTATATACTAGCCTGAGTCACAAAATCCGTCGACTCAATGATCCATTTAATTTAAGAATTTTACTGGAGCTACCTCTCCGGAGTAATGAGCCGAACTGTTTAATTAAATCGCCCAGGGCTGTCCACGGCGCCATCAGAGCTTCGAAACCGCTGTGGAATCCTTGCAGTGCATCCACAAATGCTTTGGCACATTGCTGACACAGTTCACAAACGAATTCAACCACTATATACAGCGGAGAAACTCGGTATGCCTGCATCAATAGTATTTAAACAGACTACTTGGAAAACAGCTGGCAGTTAAAATCAGTTAATCACTTTTTTTCGAAAATGAAGCTTAGATTCTTAGGTTTTAATTGAAAAACTGGTGCCGCTTTCGCTGTGTTTTGTCAAAATGCGAACCCGGAGGGAATTGGTTTTCTCATCTTTTTTATTAAGATGTATTAAGTATTATACTATCTCTCCCACACACCATACCTAGCATCTGTAATCTTCAAATTTATGTGCATGATGCCCATACAAACGTACATAAGGGCTCTCGAGTGTTATCGCAAAAAACCCACGATAAGCCAATAAAGAAGAAACTAACACAGAAGCATACACTTTCTACGGGAAAGTAAACAAGAAAGAAAGGTATATGCTGTTTTAAAGATAGATA